TTTTTTTTTTTCAATCTCACCATATATATAAAACAATAATGCTAAGGAGCCAACTATTGGCTCGATTACGGAGCCAACAACCAACGAAACAATATTACTCATATATAAAAACCCAACTCTTCCCCCATATAAAATTTTTAGATGACCTAAAAAAAGGTACCAAAATTAGTCAAGAACCCATCACCAAATTGTCCTCCAAAGAAACATTTTTTATTTTTTTCTTTCATTTTTTCTCTACAAATACACTTTATTAAACAAAAATCATGGCACAAGACAAAGAGACCCAAACCTTGCTGCCTCGAAGAAGTACTATGGAGCCTCCTCCTCATAAATCCTTCGAGGTCGAAAATCGTAATCTTGATCAAGATTACTTGTCACAACATGCGAAAAGAAGCGTTTTTGGGAAAATTAACGTTGATAAAACGTGGGTAGAATGTAAGAAACTGTGGGAGATTGCTGCCCCTGCGGTTCTTACAATTGTCGCGCAATTTTCGATCGGATTCGTGACGATTGCGTTTGTGGGGCATCTTGGGGAGGTTGAACTTGCTGCTGTTTCGGTTGTACAGAACGTGCTCGAGGGCTTTGTGTACGGTATAATGGTGAGTATTTAGTGCTTACAAAATTTGAATTTTTGTTTTATATGTTTAGATACAGAGGTAGTGAGATAATGAACAAGAATTTTCTGGGTTGTTATTGTTTGACGGGTGTGCAAACCCAATCCCACGTCGCCGAAAAATTAAAGGTTTCGAGTCTATATATAAGCTTAGTGGGCTACTCCCTCTATAGCCGATTGGTTTAGAAATGAAACCCCGTTTAGGCTTATATGTTGGGCTTGATGGAGAACTAGGTTGGTTTTGAGTTGTTCATCATTGTTTTTGTTGGTTTAATGTACTTTTTGCTGTATTTTTGGGAGCTTTTTTTTTCATTAATTTAGAGGCTTCTTCCTAGTTACTGCTTGCTGGTTTTTTTATATTTAGTTTTCTTTCTATTTACTATTTAGTGCCTGTAAAAATGTATTTTTTTCATTTTTAGACGCAGAGATAGTGAGATAATGTACATGAATTTTCTTGATTATTATTATTTCCAGCTTTCTTATGTACCTTTTTGCTGCAAAATGGGGTTTTTCTTATTTTTTTCTAGGGACTGCAAAAAAATTTTCGATTTCATTACAAAAAAGAGTAATAATAAAACAAATTATTTTCTCATGAGTTTTAATTTGCTCGAAATCTGTGTAGTTTTGATCAGAATGATTTCTTGTATCATTAGCTAGGAATGGGAAGTGCCCTCGAAACACTAGCCGGACAAGCCGTCGGCTCCGGTCAACTCAACATGCTCGGAATCTACATGCAAAGATCGTGCATTATTACACTAACCACAGCCTTATTCTTAACTCCTCTCTACATTTTCACAACACCGATACTAAACATCCTCAGACAGGACAAGAAAATCTCGGTTCTTGCCGGAAAATACGCGCTTTGGGTCACCCCTCAGTTATTCGCGTACTCGTTAAATTTTCCGGTGCAAAAATTTCTTCAAGCCCAGAGCAAGATTTGGGTCATGACGATAATTTCAGTGCTCGTTTTGGGATTTCACGTGCTTTTGAACTGGGTTTTAGTCGTGAGGCTCGATAAGGGCCTGTTTGGGGCTGCGCTAGCTGAGAATTTGTCTTGGTGGCTCGTCGTTTTGGCTCAAGTCGTTTATGTGGTCGGTGGGTATTTTCCCGAGTCGTGGACCGGTTTTTCTTTATCGGCTTTTAGGTCACTTTTTGGCTTTGTGAAGTTATCTCTTGCATCGGCTGTCATGCTATGGTAAGTTTTGTTAATTGCAAAAACTACTCTGAAGATTTGTTCTATTGCAATGTAGTATCGAGTATCGGTCTAAAAATAGAAGTTCTTTGAGATTTAATTAAGATGGTGTTTCAAAAGATATTTATAACGTGGAGTTCTCTGCAGTTAGCTAACCTTCAGGTTAGTTTTTTGCAATTCTATGTTTAAGTGACATGGTTGATAAGTTTTGTTAATTGCAAAAACTACTCTGAAGATTGGTTTTATTGCAAAGTAGTATGGATTATCGGTCTAAAAATAGACGTTCTTTGTGATTTGTTTAAGATGATGTTTGGAAAGATATTATAATGTGGAGTTCTCTGCAGTTAAGCTAAATTTCAGGGTAGTTTTTTGCAATTTTTGTTTCGGTTTTACTGAAAAAAAGTCGATATTTTTAATTTTTCGTGTCTTTTTGCAGCTTGGAGTTATGGTATTACACTGTGGTGATCCTTATGGTTGGGTGGCTAAAGAACCCAGAAATTGCAGTTGATGCTATATCCATTTGGTTAGTTCTTTCTTGGTCCTCAGCTTTTTTTTTCTCTCTTTTCACCCAGTAAAATCTATCAAATTTCATTTTTCACCCTAAACTTATTATTAATTCAGTTTTCTTAATGATATATGGCACAGCATGAACCTGGAACTCTGGACTTTGATGATTACCTTAGGTTTCAATGCTGCAATCAGGTTTGTGATTTTTATCGATGCTGATAAAATTGGAGATATAATTAAATTTGAATTTATTATTAGATCGATTACGAAATATTGAATAAATTTTGCAGTGTTCGTGTTTCGAACGAACTTGGCGCCAATCGTCCTAAGGCAGCAAAGTTCTCTATAGTTATAGCTGTGGCTACATCAACATTGTTTGGCATTGTATTCACAATTGCAATAATTGCAACTAAGGACTATTTTCCCTTACTATTTTCTGATAAAAAACAAGTCATAAAAGAGACCTCCAAATTGGGCTATTTTTTGGCTGCAACTATTTTCCTCAACAGCATTCAGCCAGTGTTACATGGTATGTGCATAACTCAAAATCTTAATTTTGTATCTTAAAATTTTTATTTTTGAAAAAAAAAAAAAATGTGACCTATTTTTGTCTAACAATGTTGAAATATTCAATAATTATAATTTCATGACAAAGTGTATTTATTTTAAGATAATTGTTAATATACTGTTTGTTTGTACATAAATTGTATCATTCGATGACTTCATTGCAAAACTTATCTTCCAAATGTATTTAATATAGAAAACTTGTCAAAATATTATGAGTAAATTACTATTTTAGTCTTGTATGTTTCACTATTTTAACTTTTTCGTCCTCTTCGAATTGTGTTTTGATTTTTGTCTCGTATGTTTGAAAAAAGGTTACAAAGGTTCTTTATGTTTTTCAAAAAAGTGTTCCAATTTCGTCCCTTATGTATGAAAAGGACCTTTGTGTAACCTTTTTTCAAACATACAGGACGAAAATCAAAAACGCAATTCGAAGAGGACGAAAAAATTAAAGTAGTAAAACATACATGACTAAAATTATAGTTTACTAATTATGAATAATTGCAAATGACTATAAACCGTGTTATTCGATGAATCCGTATCGAAATTTTATTTTAGTAAAACT